GTGTGTGTAGAGTACATGCACAGTTTTGAATGATGTATGTGTATGTACATGCATGTAATGTTGACACTCACACACACTATTACTGCATATCTAGACTTGGCTTTATGTGATATATCCGGTTCACAGGACTTTGCATGTACAGAGATTTATTCTAGTCATCCCATAAATCATACCGATCCATGGCCAAATTCTGAGGCCTACTCACTTATCATGTAGATTAGGAAAATGACTTCTTAAAAAAAGACTTTCTCATCATCCACTGTTTTCTATGTTTATGTACTGTATCTCTGTCTACTCTGTCTTTGTCTTTCTCTGTTTTTTCTCTTTCTGAATGTGTGAGTTTAATTCTGTCTTTCAGTGTATTTTCCTGTGTTTCTGTGCTTCTGTCACTCCATCTTTTTTTCTGCCTGCCTTTCACTGACTCCCTCGCTGGCTGAATCACTCTCCAGCTTTCTTCCTGCCCATTACTGTTACTGTACCCACAGCCATAGTCAACCTTTACGAGGTGGGTCTAGCCTGTCAGCTGCAGGCTACCGCAGTTGGGCCATGTTGAAAGACACACACACACTTACGCATATATGCTTATATTCTCTTAAAACCACACACACACACACAGACCCACATATATACCGGCATCCAGTGCAGAGAGTTGTACGGGCCCAGAGTGAGAGCAGCCTTTCCGTAGGCCAGGATCTGTTTCCAGTCAAACCTGCCTGTGTCCTTCCTGAGCCCCTGGGCTCCTGCGGCGGCATTGCCCCCGGGCCGTCGGGTCACAGCACGGCAGGGGAACAGCAGTACAGTGAATGTGTGTCAGAGAGTAGTTTGCGTGTGTGTCTGTGTGTGTGAGCAAGAAGGTGTGTGGGTTCATGAGTCAGTGTCTGTTCACTGTCCTACAGCGCACGCAGAGGTGAATACAAATAGAAACACTTCCTTATGTTCACAAAGACGCGTGTACACACTTCTGTCATACACACACACATAACATAAACTGCACGCACTGTTCCTTGCACCCACCCACACACAGCTGAGTCCCTTTTCAGTGGTGTCAACAGCTCCAGCTCTCTCTCTCTCTCTGTCTCTTACACACACACACACACACACACACACACACACTCACAGTCACAGACACACACACCAGTAGAACACCTGTCGGGCTGCACGGCTCGCTCCAGGACACCTTCGAGTCATGAGCTCATCGGAAAAGCAATTAAAGGCAGCGTAGGCCCCGCACGCTGGCGTAATGTTTTGTTTTGCTACTTGGCTTCGAAATTAACCAAACCTGTCAGAAGTCATCTGGCTGACGCGGGCTGGGCTATATTTATTTATTTTCTGTTGGAGAAGCTGGACGCAGGGTCCCAGTGCTGCCTCACGTCCAACAATGAAGCGATTCTGAGGGGGCGATTAGCTGGCTCGAACATGAATCCTCCCCCCTTCGTCTACCTGGGGGGTGAATGGTGAGCGCCTCCCACCTCTCTTTGCCTGTCTGTAACTCTGATGCTGGGGTCATGGCCCAGTAGTTGGGAGGTTGTGCCCTCTGTAACCCCAATCAGGGCTTTGGTCTCCACTTTGGGACTTGGTTTTGAACTTGCACTGACCTAACCGCTCCCAGTTTATTGAATTTCATGCTTGCAGTGACTGAACAAAAGCAGATTTTGCATTAAAAAAATGTCAATGTATAAACCACGTAACCTGATAAAAAGACAATATAAAGATAGGAAGATGTGTGGCTGTTAGCTCACTGGGACTGTTAGCCTACAACAGTGGAGACTGACAGAAGAACCTAGACAGGGCTTAAAGGTTAGAGGCTTTCTCTCAGTCTGGTCTAATGCTCTACCCTAGCCTGCTCGCAGCCTGATGTCAGACAGCCGTAAAACAACACCAGCAGCCCCGTGCTCTCTTTTAACTCTACTGGTCTTAAGCCGCTGAAGAAGAAAAAAAACACCTTTGACATTAATAGGCCCACTGTGGGTGAGTCGAGGTAAGTGTGTCTTCACAGATGCCTGCACGCACATTCTGTGGTTGTGTGGAGTTTCAGAGTCTAGGCCTCTGAGCAGTTTTCTGCTGTTTTCTTGAGGAATCATTTAGGAAGTAAGAAAAAACACCTCTGTTATCATTGTCATCACTTTCTGTAATTACCCATGTGCCACCCTGTTAGAGCAGAGAAAAACAACAGTTAGCCTGCTGCCGAGGTCGCCCTCTAAGCATGGCAGGCCGTTTCATGGTGCTGCACGCTTCAAAGGAGGTGTCACTCTCCTGCAGTTATGTCAACACAGTGATGAAACAAGAAAACACAGTGTGGATGGCAAAGCCTTGGTCTTCAAAGCCTCAAAAGCCAGGTCAACACATATTTTGTTTCTGTGTCACTGTCAAACTGGCAGAGAGCGAGAAAAGATTGTTTGCTCTGTTAATCTCAGAAAGAGAGCTTTTTGAGTGGTGTTGTGATGTATCAAAATGGTCATGGCTGTCAATGGCAGAAGCCAAACAGACATGACACGCAGCCACAATAAGATGACAGCTGCTGGCACGACATTGCTGATACGCTGCCAGTTACTTCAGTTATTTAAGCGACTGACTTACTGGACTTTCATACGCTCAACAAGTCAGCACCATTCATCTGGTGATGAGACAATTTTGTTATGATGGAAACTTACATGTGTGGGTTTTTGTTTATTGTATTTCATGGCAATGAAAAGGCTTTCTGCACTGGCTCTGGCACTGCAGAGCATCCACACAACTTTTCATAAGATATCCTGAGATTGGATGTAGAAAATCTACCCCCCTCCTCCTTCTCCCAAAGTGACCACTTTCTGTTTTCTTTGTGACGGTTCCACCTTAAGTGTAGAATGAAAAGCTGTGCCTTAAGGCTGTGTTGGCTTTAATACCTATTGATGCTGTGCAAAGACCACAGCTAAACTGCTCTGGTTGAGAGAGTTATCTGCAATTAGGCATTTTATATCTTTTTATTTGCTCATTTATCTCTGTAATAACTGTTAAATAAACAATCCATCGACTAAGTTATATGATTTATTGCGCCATGACTCATTTCTGCTGAATGTGCTTTGTCGTGCTTTGCCTCCCGTAGACCACAATTTAGGGTCAATTTATTGAATACATCTTCACTACTCAGCCCATTCCCAGCCTTTTGGGTCCTGTGCTGCTCATGCTGTTCTGGGCTATGATGAAACCACTTGAAGTCAGGCCCCAGCACTACATCCACAGCCAAAGCCTATTAAGCAGCCACACTGTGGTATAAGAGTTTAAGCCACAGGGCTGGGGTTATGAATCCTCGTGAAGAGGGGGGCGGGGAGGTGGATGCAGAATGACGAGGAAGGGTGGAGGTATGGTTTCAGAAGGAAGGGTAAAGAGGGGTGAAAGAGGATTGGTGGTCGGAGGGGTGGGCTAACAGAGAGGTAGAGATGAAGGATACAGACTACATACGTACTGAAGAAGAGCAAAGTAATTGAACAAATACCAGTAAGGCTGTCGTTATGTTGCAAGGACGTTTGGAAGTGTAGATGGATAGGGAAATAGTGAAGAGACAGAGGGATGGAAGTGATGGAAAATGAAGTAAGAAGAAAGATAGATGAAGCAGTAGAGGAGGAAAAGTGAGTCAGTTTCACTTTATCCGGTGAGAAAGTTTCCCCTTTGCCCAGAAAGGATACACCTGGTGAATAATGAGCAGACACACACAGACACTAGTACTGATACATGCACACACTATATAACATCATACATACCACAGACTTCACACATTACACACACAGAACACACACGTATTTGACAGCGCTCACACACACGCACACATTTCCCATCGCTTATGCTTTCAGTCATACACATTTACTTCACACTGCAAACACACACACACACACACACACACATACAGGCTCACAGGCCACAAATCACTGAACGTTGTAAAAGTGGAGCAAATTAGAGCCGTTTTATTTGCATTGTTCACAGGGAATAACGGAGGAGGGAGTAATTCCTGCCAAGCTAAAGAGGTGGTGTAACAGAAATATGTGTGTGTGTGTGTGTGTCAAGGGAGAGTTTATAATTGTGCTTTGTGCATGCTTTAGATACATTAAAATGTTATGCAAAACAACAAGCAATCAGGCTTTGTCTGAGGTGAAATGCACACACGCATTACATTCACACTTACACACGCACACACACGGCTTTGCCTCAGGGCCTGAAACAGAAGACCGGGGTCTTGTCCAAAGCTCCATTAAACTGCAGAAAGTCCTTCTAGAGCTGAAACATCCTCCTATCGTCATGCTGGGACATTCCACGGCACGCCAGAGACCCTGCGCTAATCCTGCCGGCATGGGAATCATTATTGATAGGATCCTAATGCATTACCTCAGGGCCCGCTTATTGTTGGTAAAGATTATTATTTAAGAGTAAACCAAAACCCAGAGAAAGTCTCCAGTTTCATAGAAATTTATCAAAAGAAAATGTTATTCTTGGCTTAGTGTGATACCACTTTGAACAGCACAATTGAAACAAACTGTGCTCCTTGCTGCGCTCCAACAAGCAGGCTTGATACCAACCAGCAGGTCATTAGGACACAGTGTAAACTGTGCAGGAGTGAAAAAACCTGACACTCAATCTGAACAGATTTGCCCTAAGTCACTTTCACTCGCTGGTTATTACCTTACATTGATTTCAGTGATCCGTATCGGCGTGCCTCCTACTTTGCAGAAATGATTGCGGCTACAGCATCGGAACATTTTTGTCTGTGTTCAGATAGTTTCCGCTTTAGTCAATTATTCTGTGTATCTCTTGATCTGGATCCTATTGAACTGTGTTGATCACTGAAGTTTAGTATTGTCAAACCACTGTTGGAGTGCTTTCAGACAACTGGTCTGTGTTTGCGAGCAGTAATTTTGATTTTGTAAAGGCAAGACAGATGTACAGTATATCCTTTCCTATTAGTTTTTTAACTGCTTTGATTTTCTTTGTCTTTGTTCTCTGATTGTTGTTTTTGTTTTTGTGTTGTCCAGGTGGAGTCCTGCTGGTCAGTGTCCAGGGCATAGCTGTCAATGTGGACCCAGTCTTCTGCACATGGCTGTTGTACCAGCCTCACAGGGGGAGCAGCAGGCAACAGCAACAGGTACCTGATCCCCTCTCAGTTTCTCTTTCTGGCCCTTGTGTCAACATTTAATCATGTTGTGCTTTTGATGTTTTACATGGTTAAATTGCAATATTTGTATTAATAAAGTACCTGCAGCATATTCTACTGTTAGGATAAGAGCCTGAAGCAAATGTGAATGTCTCCCTCCCTCCCTCTCCCTTGCCTTCTCTTTCCCAGCTACCTTTTTCCATGTGCTCTGCTCCCTGTCTTCCATCCAGTCTCTCTCTATTTATTTGACAGGGGTCATGGTGATGGTTATGGACATTGAATGCTCTGTGCCCACACTACACACACTCAAACACACACTCACAGACACATGCAGACATGCTTAGTCTGATTGCCTGGGATATAGCCCAGGTTCACCCCATAAAGGCACATAAATATATATAGTACATGAAAGTATCATATTGTAATACTTTAAATGTTTTTTTTTTTCAACAAGTTGTTCTGTTTCATGCCTCCTGCAGTTTGGAGGGATTGTCGGCATGCATGTGTGTGTGACAGACAAAGAGAAAGGGAGTTAATTGCACCAACCCCTTATTCTGGAGGTTGTTACTGTACAGGGGTAAACAGATGTTATGAGTTGAACTGCAGCCAGTGTGAAGGATACACAACACTGGCTGCTGTGTGTGTGTGTATGTGTTGCAGCAGCAAACGTGTGACTGTGTTCATGTGTGTGTTTCTGTGAGGCCATCTACTTGAGCTGCCTGTCAGGGTCACTTCTCAAGGCCTGGCTGGTTTGGCAAGGCCTCCAGCTGAAGGCCAGACAGCAGCCTGTGAAGGACAGAGGAGAGGACACTGACTGGTCAGGTCAGGATGGCAGGAAATTATGAGTAAGGAGGTAATTGGAGCAGAAAACAGGACAATGAAAGGGACTTTTAGAGGGATGGACAAGGGAAGAAAGTATCAGAGAGAAGTGGAGGCACATGGGGGTATGATAGAGAGAGAACAAGTGTGGAAAGAGGTGGAACATATGGAAGGATAAAAATGAAAACACAGGGGAATAAAGTATGGAACAGAGGAGACACCAAAAAAGGGGAAAGTGCTGGACAGTATTATCGAGAATGTGCGGAGAAAGGAGAGGGAGGTTGAATTAAACGTAAACTGAAACTACCAGAGCGAGCAGGAAACACAGGAGAAATCAGAGAAGTGGAGGGAGATGGTTGGGGAAGCGGGTAATGAAGAGAAAGGGAATAAGAGGAAAAAAGAAGTTTGAGAACCAAACAGGCATTTGCCTTGGCTGTTTTCAGTGTGTGTGGTAGAAGGAGTTAGCTCATACTATGTCATCTACCAGGAATGAGCGATGGTCATTGGGTAAGGTACCTGCTTTTAGCAGAGAGTATTAAAATGTGGCCAAGCACATATTTTCCAGAAGTGTACAATCTGAATTATATATATATTTTTAATCATTTTGCTTTTTCCTTTAACACACCAACCAACAAAACATATAAACATAAACCGTCATATGGTTTGTTTGTACAGTGCTTTAGTGTCATGTTTAAAAAGTATTTTTTGGATTTGTTGTTTAAGCCTCCAGTACAGTGTCTGTTTGTGTGCACTATGGATGTATTTAGACATGTCCTTCTAATTAAAGTTTATCTTGAACATTCTTTATTTAGATCTTGAACAAACCTGAATATGATTTTCTGGTCAAACCTGACTTTGGCTGACTAACCTACTGGCCTGCAGTGTTTCATTCAGCCTATGTTAAATTGCAAAAACCTAGGAAGGATTTGGCATCATCCCTCAGTCAGTAGTTTCAAATACTAATGTAATTTGGGGGCCCATTTTTAATCTTACCACAACCAGCCTTTGGGTCCCGACCCAGTCATTGAAAAACAACTGCATCAATGTGTGTATGTGTGTTTACACGGGCTGCACTACGTGGTTGGCCTGCGGCCTTGTGCAGCTGCATCATAGCCTAGTGCTGCTGCTGGCTGATGCTAATGGGGTTTCCTTATTTCAGACCAACCTTCAACTCTTCTGTCTTTCAGCCATCTCACTGCCAGCCTGTGTGTCTCTGTGTGTGTGTGTGTAGGTGTGTGCGTGTGTGTGTGTGTTTGTTTGTGTGTGTGTGTAGGTGTGTGTGTGCATGT